CATTACACCTCCTTATCTCCCATTTCATTCTTTGATCCTATCCATCCTCTTCCCATCCCCAGCTCACATGGTAACAAATCTCTTTAATTTCTGATGTATTCTCTCTGCATTGGAAGTGAGAATTATTTTACTTAGGTCACATTGGAGATTCTGCCTTATGCTGTCCTAAGGAGGAGAATGGAGGCAGTGAGGGGAGCATTGGACCTTAGAGGATGAAAGGGGGAGAGGAAGGAGTGACCCAGGACTGAAGCAGGTGGGGTCAGCCCAGAACCGCATGCCATCGATGGGACCAGGACTTAGAAGCATGGGCCTGGAATACTACAAAACACCAGAAAGGTAGTGTGGGCTGCCAGCCAGAACCTGAAGGTCCATGCCTGCCTCCCTCTGAGATGTGGGCCATCTAATTCTACCCTTCAGCTCTGCTTGAGAAGTTCCCCAAGGAAAAAAGCCTGCCTCCCTGCCCCACAGGGGCGGGGGGCTGCCTCAAGAAGCTGATCCCAGGCAGACCCAACCCTGCTGACTCGCCTTGTGCCTTAGGGAAGATGACTCATCCTGTATCATGGGGTCATGTCAACATGTGAAGAGCAGGACTCCTTCCCTCTGAGCCACCTAATCTCCCCCAACTCACCCCCAACTCCATGTCTCTCTTCCCTGTGCAGAGTTCCCAGTAAGGATGACAAGTTAGTTCTCTTTGCTGGTTCAGAAGAGGAACTTGGAGATAGAGGCAAGCCGTATTGTTGGCTGTTTCAACACTACCCCACCACGGGTAGGGGGAATGGGGTGGCATTCCTGGCAGCAGCTGGAATTTTGCAATGGGAGCTCCTCTCAGCAAGATGGGGAGGGGGTTTGGGAGGGTGATGCCAGGAGAGCCAGGTTTTGCTTGCCAAGCTTTTGTAAAAAAGGTTTCTTCCCGGAGAGAGGGAATGCCACCGTCTTCCCCCCTCACCTCTGCCCCAAAGCCATGGGGTTCTGCTGACAAGAACAAGAAATGGCTGACGGCTGATAACTGACTCATCAGACTAAAATAAGCATGCCAAGCAGTGAACCTTGGTGTGCCAGCTTAACCCCCAGGGCAGCGCAGCTGAGGATCCCCTGACTGGGCTCCCTTTCTTCCCTTGCTTGAGCTTTCAGGGCCCAGTGCCTCAGACAAGTCCTGCCTCTAAGAACTTGGGGGCAAGCTCTAGATGGCCTCAGAATGCCAGGGAGCCTAGAACCCCAGAACTCTGCCCAGTGCCTTGAGGATATCCTGCCCTTCCCTGGACAAGGCCTTGATTGTCTTTCTTGAATGAGGGAACACTGAGGTGGGAAGGTGGGAAAGTCACAGGGGGCCCTGAGACAAAAGGGAGAAGCCATGGGCAGGCAGGCATTAGAGGGGTGTGGAGAGCAGCTTGAGCCCTCTTTGAGCATGCTGGAGCAGCCCCAAGACATGACCCCCTTCAGGACAGAGGTGTGCAAAAGCTGCATTAGCTGAGCGTGTTTATTTGCATCTTGCTTTTGCATTCGTTACAGAGTGGGACATGTAGGGCAGGATAACTTGTTCCCGTCTCCTGGCATCACCAGCTTGGTCATTACAGCAGGGACTGGGTGGAGGGGTGTCTTGAAACCCAGTTCACATGGTTTAGCTCTTGCTTCAAGTTGCAGCCCTCTGAGCCGCCAGGGTCATTGCCACTGCAGCCACTTTGCCACTCAGTGTCCCCTCTCTGGTACACGCTCCGGTGAGTCCTGGCCCTCCCTCTGTGGGCAGCTGGGCAGCTGGTGTAGACAGCTCCTTCTGGGCAGCTGGTGTCGACAGGCCTGGTGGAGTTCAGGATTCCCAGCAACCAAGAGGCTAGACCTCTTAAAGCAACATCATGTTAATTGCATTTTCACTTGTTGGGACAGAAACGTGAATTGGTTTTCTTTTTCTTCCAGTAACTGCTTCTGATTGTGCTTAGGGATAATGTACTGTTATGGTTAAAAACTAAGACTCCGCCACTCAATGGCTCAGCCTGTAATCCCAGCACTTTGGGAGGCCGAGGTGAGTGGACTGCCTGAGCCTGAGGGTTCAAGACCAGCCTGGGCAACTTGGCAAGACCTTGTCTCTACAATACATTTTTTAAAAAAATTAGTTGGGCGTGGTAGTATGTGCCTGTGGTTCCAGCTACTTGGAAGGCTGAGGCGAAAGGATCTCCTGAGCCCAGTAGGTCAACGCTGGGGTGGCCGTGAGTGCCACTGTACTCCAGCCTGGAAGACTGAGTGAGACTCCAACTCAAAAAGAAAACCACAAAAAAACAACTCAGACTCCCTGGGTTCACATCCTGGTTTTGCAATCTCCTAGCCGTGTGACCTCAGACAAATTATTTAAACTCTCTGTGCCACAGATGCCCCACCTCTTCATTCTGTTCCCCCAAAGGTAGTCCAGCCCCCAGCCTCTTACTGATAAGTTTCCCTCACTTTGGTGGTGACCATCTAGGGAACTATCAACAAAACAGCTCAAGCCCAGCTCTGATTCCTAGTATTCATCCCCTCTTCTGACTGGGAGCTCGCAACTTTGACTTGCCCAATAGTGGGCCTGCGAGCTGCTCCTTCTGTCAGCCCTACCATGACTCACAGGTAACACAAGAGCGGGTCAGAGGCTTGCTGGCTGAGTAGACAGTGACCAGAGGAGTAAAATGTCAATACCGTCACCTGCGAGCATCCTAGTCTGTATAAGGGATTCTTTGAGAGACCCTCTACCCTTGGATTTGGAGAGAGAAAAAAGAGCCTTCCAGAATGGGTGGCAAACCCTGTTCTCTTCCCAGTCTTCTGACTGGGGTGGTTGGGTCGCTGTGCTGGCTCTTGACTGACATCTCCCAGCAAGCCCACCAAGATTGCAGGTTCCCATCCTGACATCTCACTGTGGCTCCTAGAACTTCCTCGAATGCAGGGCATTTAGCACCTTTTGTCCTTGGGGGTTGGGCCAGCCACAGTTTGGGAATACAAAAAAAGTCCTACTTGATACCCTTGTCTGTTTATACCAGTGTTTACTCTCCAGCTCTGATCCCATCCTGGCAGCCTTGAACAGCCCTTTATCCTCTCTGGGTCTCAGTTTTCCCTTCTTTAAGATGAAGGACTTGCTGGGAGGACCTCTGAACTCCCTTCACAAACTTGCACAAGGGATAACCGGGGAAGAACTCAGCCAGTGAGGACAAAGGGTCGATTAATGACACCTTCAGCCATTTATGCCCCAAACTCATCCATCTGAAGATGCCTGGTGTCTCAGCTCCACCAGCTGGTGCTGTTAGCCCTGAACCAGAACAGGACCAAGCTCAAGAGGGTCTTGTGTTTGGACTGCCAATGGAGGCAGAGGGGTGAGTCCCCATCACAGGTGTTCATTCAGGCCAGGAACCAGCACAATCCAGGTGGGAAAGTGGCCTAAAAACCAGAGATCGGACAGGTCTGCCTCAGGGTTCATGGATTCACTATCTGGGCTACCTGTGGAAGGGTCCGCAAACAAAAGACCAAAAGGCAATTGTAAAAGTTCCATGGAAAGGCCTAAGGGTGTCTTTGGACATCCATGTGCCTAATAGAAATGCCCAAGGTCCTTTGTCCAGAATCACCAGTGAAATCTCAACAGCCAGAAGACATGGGACCAGGAGGGTTAATCTGTCTCCTACAGTCCTGCACCTTGGCCCCAAGCTCCAGGACCAAGTCCCTGGCAAGCAAATTCCTGTACCCAGACTATGGCAGGTACTGTCCTCTTTCCGAAATGTTCTTTCCTTTCATCTCTCCAGTTTCCTCATCCAGCTAAGATGCCCTTTCTTCAGAGAGGCCTCCTTGACCCTTGAGAGAGGGTTCTCCATTTGTTCCCCCACCCCCACCCCCAGCAACTTCCTTTCTTCATAGCATGTTTTGCCTTCTGGGACCTCTTTTTAATTTTTTTCTGTTAAATTGCTCAGTGTCTGTATCTCCCACTAAGGAGCATGACTGTTTGGTTCCCTCCTGTCTCCCAAGTGCTTGACACATGGCAGGCAGGCAGTAAACCCATGATGCATGCATGTTGCCTACTTCACCCACTGCTGCACCATCCCAGCTTTGTAACATGTGGCCCACTGGGGACATCAGTGAAGGGATGCTGGACAGCTCACAAAGGACTTAGTTTTCACTGGGTTGGGGAGGGGGTGGTTCATCCCAGGCTGGGGAAGTCAGAGGATTTGCCCATGCAGGGCCTCCATGAGCCCAGTGCTTCCGCCATGCAGCTGACCCAGGTTAGGATTTCATATTTCTTTGCATGTTGTTTGCATGGCTCAGCTCTGAGCTCTGAGCTTCCTCTTCTGGCTTCCTGGTCTGTCCTCAGATCCACAGAGCTGGACTGCCACTTCCTTGGCATCCCCTATGACCTGGCCTGACTGGCCAGTGACGAGGTCTGCCCAGAAGGGGTGAATGCAGTGAGTATTCCTGAGAGCAGGAGCAACCATGCAAAGACTGTGGCATGGTAGCCATCATGCACTGGTAGCTTACACAGGGCACCCGCTCTGGCATTTCATCTTCCCAACCCTGTAAGATTAGCACCATTGCCATCCCTATTTTACAGATAAGTAAACTAAGATTTGGAAAAGTAAAATAATTGCCCAAGGTCACATGGCTTGCACATATCAAAGTTCAGAGTTGAGTCCACGTCTGTTGAATGCTGGAGTCAAGGGTAATCACTGTATAAGCTGCAGTCTCAGCTTCCCAGGGGAGCCGGGAGCCCTCTCACATAACTGAGAAGGTGGACTGGCCCTGCTGGAGCTCCCGGTTCTTCATCTTGTGCTAAAACCCCTCCTTAAGACCCCTCCTCACTGGCCTTCCAGCTGAGCTAAGCACCCCTGGCCGCTCCTCAGTAGGAGGAGGAAGGGGGGCCAAGCAAGTTCTTTGGATAACTGGTAACATCGCAAATCCTAGAGAAAGGAAAGAAAATGGAGAAAGAAGAGGTATTCCTCGAGCCTAGAGCTCTCGGAAAAGCAGCACTACAGGCTAACGGGTGTCTGTCCCCCATTCAGGCAATGACTCAGGATGCAGCCAGGGGCCACGACATGCACAGAGGACCGCATCCAGCATGCTCTGGAGCGCTGCCTGCACGGACTCAGCCTCAGCCGCCGCTCCACTTCCTGGTCAGGTAGGTCCAGGGGAGCCAAGGAGATGTTTTGAGAGCCCAAGGAAGCTTCAGGGGCCACAGTGGGCACTGGACCAGTCTGGCAGATTCTAGTTCAAACCCTGTCTGTGGGACTTGAACAAGTCCCCAGACCTCACCTCAGTAGGTACCCAACACAGCACCTGACTTATATCCTTGGTATGTGGCGCATTTTCCTTTATCCCAGGATATCTTTCTTATCCTACTCAGGGCTGCATCTCGCTTCTTGAAGAAGGTATTGAACCTGCTTAGAAATACCACAGTCACTGATTCTGGAAGAGCACCTGGGAATTCACAGGTGGCTCTCCCCAGAATTCTCCTGTTTACTTGTTTCTAGTCCCTTCCACAACCCCATCCTTCTCTTCCCTGATGCAGAGCTTCAGGGAGCAGGAGGCCTCTGTGTTCCCTCTTCCCCAGGACTGAGAAATGAGGTGTCTGTAGGCCTAGGCAGTTGTGTCTCTAAAGGCTGGTGCCTAGTTGTAATAATTTCTTATGCTTGTGAAGATTTCTCACCCCCTTATCTCACCTCCCTAACTGCTCCATGAATAGATACCCACTGCTCTTGGAACATACCTGGTTCCTTTCCATCTCAGGACTTTTGCTCTTGCTGCCTGAAGCCCTTCCCTAAGAACTGCGCATAGCTGGCTCCTTCTTATCTAGGCCTTGGTTCATACATCATCTCCTCTAAGAGGCTTTCCCTGGCCTTTTGGAATCAGATCTGAATTAAAACTATCTCCCATTGGCTATACAATCTTGTTCATCTTTATCCTTTCAGAACCCCACATGCCTTGTCTATAAAATGGGACTAATAAAACAGGAACCATCTTCCTGAAGGGGGAAGCCTCAATGGAGATAATGTATGCAAAGACCTAGCACCATAGTGACACACAGTATGTGAACAATAAATGGAAGTTTTTCTTTCTGCCTCCTACCCAGGTTTTGATGGAGCCTAAGCTTATGGAGTTGGGAGGGTAAGCATTATCAAGTAAAAGAATACACCAATACCTGACTTTCACCAATTTTGCAAAAACCTGTGACCACATGAACACATTGTTAGGGGTCCCCAGGACTTTGGAAGGAAGCCACCCCTGTGAGGGGGCCTGGAGCTTGAGCTCTGTGAAGTTCAAGGTCAATCCACTTCCACCCCTGCTGTTCTCACTCCCTACTCACACATAGCCCCTCCCCTCCCCAGACTGCCCCTTTAATTTTTAGGGGTTTACCCTTGCAGACTGCAGGGAAAAAGACTGACAAAATAAGAAAGTGTGGGGAAGTTACGGAGTGACAAAGTGTTCACTGTAGTTTTTAAAATAGAAATCACTCAGCTTCTCCTTCTTGGGCTCCACAGCCTGGGAAGCCCCATGGCTGTCACAGACTTAGTCTTGTGTCTTGGGGTGGAGCCCATATCTTGGAGTGGAACTTGCCGGGCTCCTTTCTTTATTAGGCCAACAATCTCTGCCTCTTTTCTGACTTCCCTGCAGCTCACAGGCGCCAGGACCCTCTGTCAGGTAGGGAGGTAGTGGGATAACTGAGGTGTAGGGAACAGAGTCATGGCTAGTCACATCTCTAGTCCCTATGTATCTTGTATGTGCAGGAATCGGAAACTTGTCATTATGTCTTGATGGGAAGTAGAGTTGTGTGTTGGACCAGAGTTCTCTCCTAAACTCTTACTTTAGAAAGGAATATTGTGGTGCAGTCCCACAAAGGAATGCTCCAGTGTAATCCCCCCTTTTCTACAGCTCCTGCTTGAGAGTAGCCAGAAGAAACTGGAACTGACTCCCTTGACTCTCTCTCTCCCTTTCCAGCTGGGCTGTGTCTGAACTGCTGGAGCCTGCAGGAGCTGGTCAGCAGGGACCCGGGCCACTTCCTCATCCTCCTTGAGCAGATCCTACAGAAAACCTGCGAGGTGAGGGCGAGTCAGGAATCGAAGGCAGAGCTGGGGGTGGCCTCGTAGAGTCAAGAAGTAGGTCCCAGGGAATATCGGTCCTGGGGTGTCTGAACCTCCAGAGGGACTTGGCAAAGGTCCTGGGAAGCCTTGAGTTTTGTGTTTCAGTGGTGCTTGTACAGTGAGGGTTTCTAGGAAGAGGTGCTTTCCTTTCAGGAAGAAAATGTAATACATAAACTAGGCTCCTGAGTTTAAGTTTCTTCTTAGGGCAGATAAAGCTTGTAAGTCAGGTATTGACTTGGAAAGAAGAGGACCTTTTAGTAAATTCCTTTTCTCAAAAAGATCCATAAAAATAAAGACATGAAAGAGGAAACTGATTGGAAAGGTAAAATGAGGCCTCCTCATTCAATAAATGATATTTTATGACAAAGAAGAGGAGTCCGTTTAGTGCTGAGCTGGGCTCGGGTTCCAGAATAGCCATCAGTCTCAAAAGAGAATTCAGGCCTTTTACTAAAAATTCTCTTTTAGGCCAAGGTGCAGTGACTCCAACCTGTAATCCTAGCACTTGGGGAGGCTGAGGCAGGCGGTTTGCTTGAGCCCAGGAATTTGAGACTAGCCTGGGCAACATAGCAAGACCTCCCTCATCTCTACAAAAAATTTTTTTAAATTAGCCAAGTGTGGTGGCATATGCCTGTAGTCCCAGCTCCTCAGGAGGCTGAGGTGGGAGGATTGCCTGAGCCCAGGAGGTTGAGGCTGCAGTGTGCCTTGATGGTGCCATTGCATTCCAGTCTGGGTGACAGGGTAAGATCCTGACTCAAAATAAAAATAATAAATAATATTATCTTTAAAGTTTTAAAAAATATTTTAAATATTTAAAATATGACATAATATTTTAAATGCATGAGTTGGAAAGCATGTCACTTTCTCTCTCAGTTGGCTATCACTATAAAAAGACACCCGAGTTTACAATTCTGACTTCACCATTTTACCTGGTGCTTTCATACCCTCATCATAAGCAAACCAGCTCAGAAGAGCGGAACAGTTCTTAACAAACAATTCCAAATAGAAAGGCTCAGCCGCCATGTAGCCATTGCGAAAGGTTTTGTAGATAGGTCCAAGCATCAAGGTGTGGCGGACACATCGTCTATTAAGGGAGAATTCTTCATTTGAGCCTGCTGAAGTTATCCAACATAGAAAACACGGCGGAGCCTTCTGTGTCTCCAACGGCCACAAGTTCCAGAATGGGCCGGGAAACCTCGAGCGTTTTGACCAATGAATTCTAAGTCATGTGCTGTGCACATGTATACATATGATGTCTATGAAAAAAATAGTTCACAGAATAAACAGAACTTGTAATAAATACAAAAAATGTTGCCTCGGTGATAATAAAATAAATGCAAATAAAAGCCACAATGAGACAGACTTTGCTTAACAAATTAGCAGGAAAAAAATGGTAATAACCAATGCAAGAAGCATGTGTTGAAATTGGTACTTTCACAAAAACAAGATATTATAAATGGTACAATATTTTTTGAAAGCAATTTGGCAATATGTCTCAAAGGTCCTAAGTATTTTGATAATTTTTGATCTGTTGGTTCCACTTCTTGAACTCTATTCTAGATAAATAATTCAAATTATAGAAAAAGAAACCTATGCAGTGGTGGTCACTGCAAAAGTATGTAAAATACAAAGAAAATAATCCTGAATGTCAACAATGAAACTAATAAATTATGGAGGTCTACCAAAGGGAATATTATACAGCAAAAAATTATGGACATTTTCCAAGGATATAAACAAAATGTAATATGTAACAAAATCACTAAGCTGTACTAAATGGCTCAGGGAAAATTGACTTAACATTTGGAAAAATACAGAGTGAGATTCCCAACTTGCACCACACAGCTGATGAAATTCTAGTTGAATTAAATATTTAAATTTCAGACAATGAAGCCTCAAAGAAGACTATATATATCATATATATATATGTGATTCTTGCATGTCATGCAAAAGCAAAAATCCATAAAGAAAAAATTAACACTTGTAATTTCTGTATATCAAAAATATCTATTAAAATATCGATAAAAACCAACTGGAAAAAATATTTACAACACAAACAACAGCTAAATCTATAATCATGAGGGAAAAAAAGAAATTCACTCATAATGCTACATGCACAAGACATTAAGAGTAAAAATATGCATTCCAGTCTGCTATGATTATAGCTTTGTGAAAGAAAATACATAGGGAAAAAATGATGTCAGGAGAAGTACATTGAAACATTAACTGTGGTTGAGTTTGGAAGCGAAAATTGTGAGTGTTTTTGTTTACCTCTGTTGTCCAAATTTTTTTCGTGTGGTTACAATGCTTTTCACTTAAAAAGAGAGAAGGAAATCAAAGACTAGAACAAGAAAGCACCACTGTATTCTGCCTCCAGGAGGCCTGCACCCTGCAAATGAGTCTCACTCCTCCTCCCATCCTTTTCACAGGTCCAAGAGAAGGGCACCTATGACCTACTTGCCCCTCTAGCCCTACTGTTCTACTCTACTGTCCTCTGTGTAAGTCCAGGGTGGGCCAGGACGGGGAGGTGAGGGAGGAGAGGGAAGAGTGAGCTCCATTGGGGACATAGCCCTCACATCTCTGGGGATAAACATACAGAGAGAAATGACCAAGCATGACATTCACGCTCTGATGACTTCACAGAAGCTGTCTTGAGAGGACTCTAGTAACCATAGGCCGCCATTGTGCCTGGCATCTCTGAGCTCCCATGAAGGAAATGCTGTCACTGTCCGTTCACAAGCCACAAGAGACATTATCTGTCCACCTCATTTTTTATCCTAGTGGTCTGTTTCACCCCATGTGATCATCCCCTCTAATTACTGGACTGGCAGCACCAAATATGTGCATTGATTCAATCTACTCTCAAAAAAAATAAACACTTGCCTCTAGCAAGAATAAATAAAGGATTTGACATTGAAGACCATGCCCCAAAGTGAGTGGCAGCAATGACACCATTTAGAATTACCCCTAAGGCGACAACTTTTCAGAGAGGATCACTCAAGTGTTGGATAAGCTGTGATATTTGGGGTAGAACAAGGCCCTTACAGTAGGGACACCCCTGGGTGCCATCTTGTCCATCTGTAAATCATTCACTGCAAGTACATTCCAGTTCTTCCTGACCTTGTCCTGGCACACAGTGCTGCCAGGAAATGTGTGTACCTTATGGAACATTCCAGAAGGGGCGAAGAGGCTGTTCTGGAAGATCAGTGAGCTTATGTTCATCCAGACCTCTCTGTGTGTTGCTCCCTTCCATCCTAGACACCACACTTCCCACCAGACTCAGATCTCCTTCTGAAGGCAGCCAGAACCTACCACAGGTTCCTGACCTGGCCTGTTCCTTACTGCAGCATCTGCCAGGAACTACTCACCTTCATTGATGCTGAACTCAAGGCCCCAGGTAAGCACTGAGACAGTTCGCACATGGATGCTTCCAACCATTATGAAACTTTTTTTGCATATGACCCTCTTCACCTTGCATCCTTTAGTTCATCTCTGACCCTGCCCTGGTTCAAAACCTGGGAGTCTTCACAGCATGGGGAAGCATTTGATGGCTAAATCCACACAAGCTGACAGCAGTAAATAGGGAAGGTAACTTGAGGAGGATTTCTTAGAGGAAGCTGAAGCAGACGTTCAGGGCAAGGCAACTCTACCACTTGGCCTCTGCCTCTGATCTGGTTAGCCAAGGGGTCCCCAAGGCTGCCCAGGTCAAACATAGAAACCCCCAGAATACCGACAAGAGGCTCTTGCTTGTTCTTTTTGATGCAGGAACAAATAGGTAATTGCATGTGTGGGTTGATTCAGTTCTGGCCAGGGAAGGTGGCCGGTGCTAGGAATAGAAAGGTTGATAGCCACCTACTTTTCAGAAAGGAGTTTTAGAAATTGAAACATAGGAGTTTTAGAAATTGCAGATGCTGTTATAGACATGAAAATAAGGTATAAGGAAACTATGACAGAGCAAGATAAAACCTAATTAGGTATTTATTATTATTATTATTTTTTTTTTTTTGAGTTGGAGTCTCGCTCCGTCGCCCAGACTGGAGTGCAATGGCCGCTCCCGGCCACCGGAGCCTCGACCTGCTGGGATCCGGCGATCCTTCCGCCTCAGCCTTCCAAGTAACTGGAACTACAGGCGCGCACTACCACGCCCAGCTGATTTTTTTATTTATTGTAGAGATGAGGTCTCACCAAGTTGCCCAGGCAGGTCTCGAACCCGCGGGCTTAGGCAATCCACTCACCTCAGCCTCCCAAAGGCGTGGGATTACAGGCTGAGCCACCGAGCCCGGCTGGTATTTATTATTTATCACTCAAATAATAAAATCATATAAACTTCTCAATATGTGCCTCTAAGACATTTGATAAAATACAACACCCATTTCTGATATTCAAAACTCCTCAATATATGGAAACTATTAGTATAGGAGTGCTTTTAATATGGCAACAGTCCAAGGTAAAATACTAGAAGCATTTCCTTTAAAGTCAATTATCTTCCTCTTTTTGCTTATAAGTATTTTGCCTATGCAAAAAGACAAAAATCAAGAATATTTTCTCTTCTGGAGGAGAGAAGAGTTTAATTATTTAGAGCTCAAACAATTGCTTACTTGTCAAGACTGAGTGAATCACCTAAATGAAGAATTGTCAGAACTAGAAAAATGTAACTAAGAGCTTTTCCAAAACCAGTGTCAACCAACAAGAAAGTATTATTTAAAAAATTGCAATAACAACTAAAAATAAAAAATGAAGAAAAGAAATTTTAATAACTTATAGAAAAACTTTACTGAAGAATAAATAATTGAAGAGACATACTGTTAGACTGAATCAATATTGTAATAATATGAGGTGTTATGAAAATAAATGCAGCTGCAATCAAAATACCAATGAGGTGTTTTAAAATTTAACAAAATAAAGTCTATTTGAAGAACCACAGTGGTACATTTTTTTTTTTTTTTTTTTGGCAGGGTCTTACTCTGTCACCCAGACTGGAGTGCCTTGGCATGCTCATAGCTTACCACAGCCTCAACCTCCCGGGCTTAGGTGATCCTCCCAACTCAGTCTCCCAAGTAGCTGGCACTACAGGCACGTGCCACCATGCCCAGCTAACTTTTTGATTTTTTTGTAGAGACAAGGTCTTACTATGTTGCCTAGGCTAGTCTCAAACACCTGGGCTCAAGCAATCCTCCCACCTCAGTCTCCCAAAGTGCTGGGATTATAGGCATGAGCCACTGTGTCCAACTTATTTATGTATTCTTAAAGGAGAGTAAGAATGGGATATTTCTATTTTGTGAAGGTACCATAGTGCTATAGTTATTAAAATAGTACACTATTGGTATAAGAATAGATAGATTAATGGAACAAAATATATAAAATTTATTTTATAAAAAAGTGACATCCTGAAACCAGTGATGAAAAGATCAGGTATTGAACAAATGGTCTTTGGATAATTGGCAAACTATAAAAATTCGAGTTAGAATTTTATCTAAAAAAAAATTGAGTTGTATCCCAGACATAAAAATAACTATCAGATAGATTAAAGGTCTAAGTGTGAAAAACAAGACTATGAAGGTGGTAGAAGAAAAATAGGTTGCATGAGTCTGGAGTGGAGAAGAGTTGACAAACACATCCCCAAAGGCAAAAAATTATAAAGAAAAAGACTGACAGATACAAAAACATCCAATGTAAAACCTTGTATGCCAAACCCACTGTAAGTGAAAGGTACATGACAAACTCAGAAAAATATTTGCAACAACAAAAAAATGAATATATCAAGCCCACAAAGAGTTATTTCGAATCCATTAAAAAATAGGCAAATTCATCAATGGAAATATGCATAAAGATGTGATTCAAGTGTAACAAAGACCATGAATGAATGAACAATACCACCCCCTGACCCCAGATATTTACCCTCATTTGTTATAAAGACAATGCCAAATTAGAGAGGGAGACTCTTTTTTTTACCTTTATCAAATTGGCAAATATTTTAAAAAGAGCAAAAATGCCAGTGTTGGTGAGAAAAAGGAAGGTTGTGTTTCCTAAAGCATCAGCAAAAATGCCCTTTTACTCAGCAATTCCATTCCTGAAATTTATCCTGATAAATAACTGTGGATATACAAAGATTTAGCTACAAGTCATCAATGCATTCTTTCTAATAATCAACCAATGCCAAATACTCTAACTATTGGCCGGGCTCGGTGGCCCAGCCTGTAATCCCAGTACATTGGGAGACTGAGGCAAGGTGATTGCCTGAACCCACAGGTTCAAGACCAGCCCGGGCAACTTGGCGAGACCTCGTCTCTACAATAAATAAAAAATTAGCCAGGCATGGTAGCACGTGCCTGTGGTTCCAGCTACTTGGAAGTCTGAGGCGGAAGGATCACCAGAGCCCAGCAGGTTGACTCTGGGGTGGCCGTGAGTGTGCCCTTGCACTCCAGGCTGGGAGACAGAGTGAGACTCCAACTCAAAAAAAAAAAAAAAAATCTAAATATTGAACATGGTTGAGTATGCTTTGGCAAAGTCACTTTGTGGAATGCTATTCAATTATTTAAGATGATATTGTAAAAATAAAGTTACTAAGAGCCAAAGATGTTGAGTAACTTGTTGAGTAAAAAAGCAGGCCCAGCCAGGCAAGGTGGTTCACCTCTAGTATCCCAGCAATTTGGGAGGTGAAGATGGGAAAATTGCTTGAGCCCAGGAGTTCGAAACCAGTCTGAGCAATATAGTGACACCTTTTCTCTACAGAAAAAATAATAATAATCAAAAAATTAGCTGGGTGTGTTGTTTGTCTGTGGTCCTAGCTACTTAGAAGGCTGAAACAGAATTGCCTGAGCCTAGGAGGTCAAGGTTGCAGTGTGCTGTGATTGTGCCACTGCATGATCCAGCCTGCCTGTGTGATAGAGTAAGACCCCAATTAAAACAAAACAAAACAAAAAGAGCAGGCCTGGGGGGTGGGGGGGATTTTTTTAAACACCAGGCCCTAAAATACTATGTATGTTGTCATCTCATTTGTGATTTTTTCTTTCAAATGTATACTTGCACCAGTCCCTGTTTAGTACTGGCAACATTTAATTCTTATCGTACCCATTAAATACACACAGGATAGAAGTACCAAATCTTATTCCCCAACAACTCATGGGCCTTAGAAAGACCAGGTCTGGAACTTTGTAAATTTCTTTAGAAGAGTTCATAACTTTCTTCCCCAACCAATCAACTCATCTCTGCCCCCAACCAATCAGCTGATCTCTCTCCCCAATCATTCAGCTATCTGTTGTTACAAAGACCAAAGCAGCTACAAGCTAGGGTTGGCCAACCCCAAAGTCAACTGCAGCATGTCCTCATTTCATAGTAGAAAATTGGGTGGAGGATTAAGAAATTAGGAAGGCCCTGACAAGTGTTGGGCTCAGAAAGGTGCTTAGGCACATTATGAATAGAAAGTCTGCCAGCCTAACTTTCCAAGGCCCTCTAAATGAACAAGCCAGTTTAAGGTGGCCAAACTGTTTCATTCTCTCCCTCCCTCCCCGTCCCCCCCAAAACAAATAGATCTGGAATTCTTGCTGGTGACTAGAGTTCCTTTACTAGGAGGCAAAGCTTTTCTTCCTTTCTACAATTTTGAAAGAACGAATTTAAAATGCAAATGCCTTGGCAGGGCCTTCAGTTTATACCTAAGACCCAAATAATTCTTTTTTTATTTTGAAATGGGTAAGGGAGATGTTGGGTTGAGGAAGGGGATCCCCTGTGGGGAGCCCACCTTCCAATTTCAAGTAGAACAAGCTGTCTCTCAGGTGAATGCATGCTATGCCTTGAAATATTTTTGTGGACAGCTGAGCCCTCTGTTCTGGGCATCCAGCAAGCAGATGTAGAGTGAAGGGGTGGGCTGTGGTAAGGTCCAGACCGGGGGATGAAGGGATTCTAAACCTGGGGCACCAAAACCAGGCCAATCAGCAACTGGAGGTGAAAATTGGAATGGGAGTCCTTTGGCCTCAGAGCAGGGAGGGCCCTTGGAACCATCACTCTCTAGTGAGGGCCTTCTCTTCAACATCCCCTCTGAGACCCCATGAGGCCTTAAATATTCTGGTGTCCAGGGAAAAGGCAGATGCCTGGGGAGGGCGGCTCAGGCCAAGCTGCCCACCCTAGGAACTTCTCCTCTTCTAGGAAAAGCAGAACCAAAATAGGAATCCATTAACTTTTCCTCATGTTAGAGAATCATGTTCCGATGGCTAAAAGAAACCCAGTACTTATGCAAATATTTAGTGAGCCTGTGTCAGAGATGTATCAGCAAGATGGTAGGTTTCAAGGAGGGTCTGAGAAACTGATACAATTTTTTCATAGAAGCTAGAATAAGATTGTAAAATTAGATACAAAATAGCTAATATGTAAAGGAATAAAACCATAACCTCTGGAGTTATC